TCACCATGGTGTATTAAGAGAAGTACTAAGTCATGTTTGTTTCTTATACGTTAGCTGTGCATAGGTGAACAAAACCAGTATATTAAAAAACTAAGTAACTCTCGTTCTCAGCACAGTGAAAGAGCTGTCATGCGGCGCGCTTGAATCGGGATTAGGTTTCAGTCTGTAGGCAGCAGTGCTTTCGTTTCTGATGAAGAGCTTCTCATGTGATCTATGCTTGTTATTAAACCTCCATGCGTGTACTGCAGCCCGAGATGCGACTTCTAGAAAGAGTTCTTGTTTAGCTGATGACCTCCTGATTTATAAATATTATTTTGGCGTACCATTTCCATATTAGCTTACATTTTTTTTTCTAATGTGGAAACACATCTAGCTAGTATTGACAAGCTAGTCAGAGTGCTGAATAGTGTTCATAACTGTCTGTTAGTTTTCAGAGCTGGCGTGTACTGGAATAATATTTATTATGGAGGGCAGTTAGAAGTTTGTAGCGCTGATAAATTCTACTTGTTACAACAGCTCAGTTTCAAAGATCCCGACTCTTCAAACTTAGCGTGAACTTCTAATCTTAATTATTTAGATAATTCTTTTTTACTCACAATGGCTTAAGCACTTTTAATAATACTCTAAAGATTATTCACATGCAGCCAATGTTTCCAAAGGAAAAAAAATGTTTTTAGGTTTCAAGATACTTGTATAATCTCTATAGAAATTGGACTTCACTGAGTGAGTAATAATGTTTTTTGGCATATTTTTCTGGAAGTAATTTTCTTTTACTTATTAAGCAGTTTCCTGGTTGTATAACGATAACAGTGAAGACATTAAAAAAAAAAAAAACTCAAACGGATACTGGGATAACAGAGAACTGCTGAAGTTACTTGTGTGGGTGGTTTATCCGGCTATCACTCCGTATTATGACGTGGGCTAACAGCAGATTTATCTGCCTCCCAAATGGATACTCTGTGGCCTTCATTTTCATCTTACTTAACAAGGGGAAAACAGGCATTTCCCATTTTCACCCAAATCAAATATCGATACCCCGAACATGAGGTGTAAACCTGGAACTGATTGGAGGTGGTGCTCTAAAGATATTGCGTTACCGAAAGACAGATGGGAAAGGCGCTGCACTGGGTGGAGTGCCACGTCGTCTTGGGCTAATTGTGAGAGTTATAACCAACGGAAATTAGAGACGCTAGCCTGAAAGATTTGGGATTAGGTAATCTGAGTGTTTTTAACTCCTTAGATTATAAAAACCAGGAGACTAAATTATGCACTTGGTATGCTTAAGAAACCCACGTGTGACTATCTGCAAGTTTTAATTCCACCTGTTCGCTTCATAGAGTCTCTGAAAGTATGTGTTGGAAAGCAGGCAAGGGTGATTCTCATGGGGAAAACGAAAATATTCTGAAAAGTTAGTGACTTTTAAGTTTTTTCCACAAACAGTCATGCAGGTTCATGAGTTGGCAATTTGACTGGCCAAGTACTCAGGCTACAAACCAGCGTCTTCAGTTTTGGGATTGATAAAAGGATTATACCCATTCACATGGCAAGTAAGATAGCTGCGACAACGATTCGTATGCTTAATGTACTACAGTTCTGTTTGGGAGTAAGTGTATGCGGTATTCAGAAAGAATTAAAAAAAACGCTCAAAGAGCAGTCTGATATCTAAAGAGGTCTTGCTGCTGAGACACTTCAGCTGGTGCTCCCGTCACTAAACTGGCCCAGGTTCAACATAATCGTGAAAGTTGAGGTCTGCTATCCATAGCACTCGACCAAACTGCCTCAAAAGTAATCTTTTGCTTAGTATTGATTTTTTATAATTTCCAAAATAAAGATTAAACTTTCTAGTTCAAGAGTTTCTCTTTTGAGAGAAAAGGACTATCTGCTTTATCATTGAATTAAGCTTACTTAATTCCAGAGCAACGTACGTGCCCGTAGATTAGTTTCAAAATGAAACACAGGGCTTTCCTCTTTGTCCTAACCTTTACTTAGCAAAAAAGTCTCAAACAAGCTGAAGCAGAGGATAATTTCTCACACAAATGTTCACAAAGAAAAACATATGAGCGACTGTCTGGGGAGTAGGATGAAATAGGTTCTGGTGTTGAACCCTTGCTGCTGTTGGCTCATTTCTGAGACACACTCAGATACTGTAATTTAGGGGTGCCAGGTAGGACTGCAGCACCCTGCTGTTGGGCCAAGCGATGAAGCAGCACAGTAACTGCTGGAGCTTGGGCCTCTTTTTTTAATGGGCATATGAAAGATATCAGGAGTCCTTCCAGATGGCAGCCAGCATATTTGATGCTATTAAGTAGGGATTTCTAAAAGAGATGTATCCTGGACTTAAGTGTGTGTGTGTCTGTCTGTTTTACCTGTAGTTTATATAGCATGGGTGACTTGGGCAAAGTTTCAGGTTTTATAATAGTTGGGATTTGTTTATTATTAAAAGGTAATTAAAACATTAATTAAAACTGGTGGATTATTACAGAGAATACAGTTTACGGTCTTGTCTTGAGAGTTTCATAGGTAATTGCACTTGACCTGTATGTCATCTTTAATATTTCATTTGTTCCAGAATATTATTACTCACTTCCTTTAAGATGATAGCTATGTTTTTCATGCAGCTAAACTTCTGTTTAACCTTGCTGTGAGAATGTGACAGTAGGCCAGTTCAGACAGGTTAATGCTCATTTGGTAACTAGCTGCTTAATCAGCTCACTTCGACCTGCAGCAAATTAAATCTTTGGAAGTTCTAGCAGGCAAGTGATAAAGTCATTCCGAATTATGTGTAAAAAGAAACAGGATATTTCCAGTGCTCATGGCAGTAAATGAAATTTCAGGCTTATGATTTATTCTTAGGTTTTGATTAAGGATGATGTAAATTTGATTTGGCTTACCGTTTTTACAATCTAATTAGGAGGAGGCTGTATCTGTGGAATGTATAATTGAAGTGTCTCATTTTTTGACCAAGGAAAAATGGTTATGACTTCTACGGGATGTAGAAAATATTTTGTCCTGTACATGTTTCTGAAGGAACCATTTACTGTTAGCAACATTTTGAACATACAGCCAGACAAGTCAGTCAGATTTGTTGAGAATCAAATATTTTGTCAGATTCAGATTCTGTAAAAACTGGATTCGTTGCCAAAGCAAACCTTGTTAATTTAAGATCTATTCATATTGTAGATTTGACTCCATGTCTTAATCAAAATAGGGCTTAGGTGCTGCTGAAAATTCTGTTTTATGATCATCCAACTCTACTTGAATAGGTCTGATACGCTTTCCAGAAGAGGGCAGTAGGCCATGTGTACACTTCAGCTGTATAAAGAAATGTGTGGAGGATGCTTGAAATGGCAAAGAATAGCACAGAAGAACTGGAGAATTTGTACAACTTTTTGGAATGATATTTAAAGTTCCTTTGATCAGCAGAGAAGATACTGGGCTGTATTTTTATTTTGCCTCGGGTGTTATTTTTAATATAATCGTTAGTACTCGGTTGGCTATTTAGCTAGATGGACTCATGCAGTGAAACCGAGTAGCTTGATGGTTGACTTCACCAAGAAGGATCTCGTGAAATTTCTCGGCTCAATGAATACTATGTAGTTTAGCTTTCTAAAGCTACAGCTGTATTTCATGGATCCCAATGTTCCCAGTGTCTTCAGTAGGTTTTTTCTGATACTAAAATGGTGAACTATTCTTGTTTTTAGTCATAATGATAGTGTGTACAATCAGCATCTCCAAAGACTGTTCCTTCATGTTTGCAGACATCTAATCATTTTGTCTTTTCAAATGGTGGTAGCTTTTATCCATTACTGTCTTCATTTCTTCTCTCACTAATTTTAAAACGTTTAGATTTAAGGAAAAGAGCAGTAGGAAAAAAGTGCTGTTTCTGTTGGCATGAATATCCTTCCTATGCTGTCCATAAGTTCACTAGTGTTGTTGTGGTTCATGTGTGCTGTTCAGATGAGAAACATGGCCTGTGCCTTTGGTATTATTAATGACCAAGATGGCGATGAAATGTACTTTTTGAGTAGACGTTTTGATTGCATCTTTTACTATTTCTGACACTAGACTATTTTTTCAAGATGATCAAAATTTTTTTGCAAGGTGACTTAACTGTTTTGAATTAGTTGCTTCAGTACCTATCATCTTTACCTTAACATTTGCGTAATAACTAGGAAGGAAAAATGAATTGCATATACGTCATCAAGGTCTCCCACTGTATAATTTACTGATTTTTATTTTTTATTTTTTTTACATGGAGGAGAAAAATATTCTCAACATGAAAACAAATCAAGTAAATATGTTAATATAGTTAATAAAGTTTATTAATATAGTATCATTAAAAAATTAACCTGAACACTTAAAACACAAATCAATAAATCTTTTCATTTAACTTTATGAGATATTGTTCTTATTCTAGTTTAAATCCAGAAAATTTGCAGGTAATGGTTCAAAGTTCAGTCCTGATTTAGGAGAAAATAACAATGCAAGCCAGTTTTGAGTTTGCAGTTCCATTTGGTGTGTTTGGATACTCTGGGCGTGCATACCTGTAAGCTCCTTGGCTCTAAAATGCACAAAGAGCTATTGTTACCTCTTTTTTTTTTTCCTGCTAGCATCTGTAGTTCCTGTTTCATCATTTGCTGGGCATACAGCCTTTCCTGAAGACTGCATGTAGTTAAACATGCAGAAAACCTCAAATCCTAAAACTTGACATTGCGGCTTCGTGAAATTAAGTCTTAGCACTCCACACTTAACAGAAAATACTGCAATATGTTAGTGGTGAACGTGCGGTAATAGTTGTTGGATGTTTTGAGTATCTTTATGTCAGGAATCATTTGAATTTTCCAGGCTTCTTTCTTTATATGTGTATAATTAATTCGGACATCTGTAGTACAGTCTTTAATTTGAATATCAAAACAACCTGAAAAAGAAAAAAGAAAAACGTAAGTGAGAACATTGCGTTAATAAATAATCACTGTTTTTTACAATGTTTTTTATTGTAGATGACTCTAGCTGTTTCCGGACTGACTTTTCCTTGCCATCGACTTACAGTTGGAAGAAGGTCTTCACCCGTACAAACAAGGGAACAGTCAGAAGAGGTAAGAACATTTTGATTTAACAAGTATGCTCTAGGAAGAAGCTGGAGTAGTCTTGTTTTGCACTGGTTATTGTCTCTTCTGTTGTCAAATATGTCAGTAGAACTACATGTAAAAAGATTCAGCTTACAATTCTTGTAACATGTAATTGTAATAAAGACAGGAACTGGACAAACGAGTTACTGATGAAAAAAGTTTAAAAAAAAAAAAGGCAAGTTGTAATAACTATTGAAAAATCCTCCAAGTCCTAAATTTGAATGGGAGAGATTGCAGTAAGATAGGTACCTTTCCAAGTGTACCAAGGACTGTCCTGCACCATGCAAGTATTGCTAAAGTACACTGCATCTGGTTAGTAAAACTATTGTGGCTTTTTTCATTCTTTCTTGTGCAGTAGTAACCATCTAGAGTACCTCTAGGGGGAAAAACAATTTGAGTTTTAGATAAAATTTGCTCAACTCTGTGATACTATGTATATATACAGAACTAGCTCCTTAGTTATTTAATAATCTCTTTTGTCACATAATATTGCTCTGTCAGCCAGACTTCTGGTAAAAATTAGAAGTCTTTCTTAGACTATAAAATAATAAACTTAATTGCAGTATATCAAGTGTTTATAGAAATGGATAAGTACTTTTCAGTATGTATGTATTTCGTGTTTCATTAAAGATGACCTATGTAATAGAGGCTTATCGTGTGTGTGTGGTTTTGTTTTGTTGTTTTTTTTTTAATAGCAATGCACTGATGTTCATATGGTTAGTGACAGTGATGGAGATGACTTTGAAGATGCTACAGAGTTTGGAGTTGATGATGGAGAGATGTTTGGAGTAGCATCATCTGCCTTGAGGAAATCGCCAATGAGTAAGAGTTGAAAGTTGATTTACTGTGGATTTTGCAGCACTAGTGAAAGCAGAGACGTATGATGGGTCTGCATACTAAGACATAGGAAATTATCTTTCACTAGGGAATGTTAAGAGAGTCTCGTGTCTGATGGGTGCTTCAGAGGAAAATGCTGGAAACCTGTATAACTGGCAACAATGAAGTCATCTTCCCATGGATGAAGTTTCTTCTTAACTTTATGCTTTTAGCTTGTAGCTGAAGAATGATAATAATATACCTCTGAGAAATGATGATCTATGATCAAATGAAGCTGTTGATCCTTGCTAGCTACATTTCCTCTTCTCTGTTTTGAAACTTCTGCGAGTTTTTAGCTTCAGCCTCTTATGATGATGAATATTTTAAACTATTTACATGTAACATTAAATACTTCCTTTTATCTCAATGATTATTTGGTACTGAATTATAAGAAGGGAATAGACATCAGTTACCCTATATATGCTAATTATTTATTTCAGGCCTGTGTCAGTGTCATTACCATAGAAGTTTTCTGACAGCAAATCTATGTCACTGTAATGGTATGGGAATATTTTTAACATTATGTATAGGAAGTTAAAAAAGGAAAGTAAATAGCAGTACAGTGTGTCAAACCTTTCAAACCAGTCCTTTACTTTTAATGTAATAAAGGAAGTACTGAGTGTGAACTCTGAACAAGTGATTTATCACATTACACTGGAGCTGAGGATTTTACTTTTTGGAAAACCTGAATATTTTCTTGGGTGTGTCTGGAAATTGCCTGTTTCTCGAAAGATTCATAGCTGGTAGTCTTTCATGAAATGTATATAACATGATAACTGCTTAGTAAACTGCCAACATAAAAAAAAATCCATGAAACAAGGTGAGTGTGCATATAAAAATCCCTTTCCCTAAGGTTACATTTTTCTTTCTTTCTTTCTTTTTTTTAATGGCCAGAAAATGCTGAAAATGAAGGAGATGCCTTATTACAATTTACAGCAGAATTTTCTTCAAGGTAAGCTTAGCCTATGGACTGTGAAAGTAAAAATAAAACAAATGTACATATTTTCTTATGTAAGCATACACATGTAGGCATCTGAATCTGATTTGTTTTAAGCTAATTTGGTTGAGGCAATTTAGGAGGCAGCATATTTCTTAGTCCAAGTTTTAGAGTGGCAGGTTCTTGCCTTACTTAATTTTCCATTAATTTACGATCATTACTTAATTATGTAAGGGTCCAGAAGGATGACAGAGATTCAGATTATGAATAGCAATTTTAATTTGATGTACAGCACCAGAAAAGCTGAAGCTGATTAATATTGAAAAAAATATCCTGAATTGTAATAAGAGTTTTCTCAATAATAAAGTGGTTGAACAATCATAAATCATTACTTTTTAAAAATACAGAACTGCTGGTTTTCCATAACTTTATAGCTCCAAATCATGTGGTGTTAAACAATTGTCTTCCTCAAATAGGTGGAAGCTGCTTGGCAGCCAGAAAGTCTATATGTTACAAACTAATGCAAAGTTTGTCTTCTGTTCTCAGTCCTGTGTAATGGAAGGTTTATTCACATAGGTGTGTATATATATATGGGATGCATTAATGTGTAATATAATAGCCTTAAATTAACCTTTAAAACTGTAATAACGAGAAGTAATAAGTTGTGATTGGAAAAGTATCTAGAACTTCAAATGTCTGTTTATGTAAACAATTTTTTAAATGATGAAATGCATAAGAAGTTATTAGTTTGAGCTTTTGAATGTCAGGGGACATATAGCTGTTAAAGAGCAGAAGGGAAGTATTTAGAAGTGTAGTACTTTCTAAGGATTTAGCCAATGCATCATATTAAAAGAATATGTGAAGAGCTAGAATGTTGAAATTATTTTCATATTTTTTTATTAATTGAAAATTTTATCTCAAATAGATATGGTGACTGCCATCCTGTTTATTTCATTGGCTCATTAGAGGCTGCTTTTCAAGAAGCCTTCTATGGGAAGGCTAGAGATGTAAGTGTGTATTAACGTTGCTTTATTTGATTTAGGGGAAAAAGGAAAACCACAGTAAAGGCTGTATTTTTCTTTATTTTAGAAAGATAAAGTAAGTTTTGGAGTGGTCTTTTTATTGTTAGCAAACAGTTATACTCATTTAAGTAGTTGGCTAAAATATTTACGCTGAATGTTTTTGATATGATCGTATCTCATGCTTTCTAATTTTTCAGGGTCTATTTTTATTGGAGTCCTTCATTCATCAAAATTACATTTGTTTTGTCTCCTTTTTCTTTTCATCTTGAAGTAGTGCTGTCGTAATGCTATATAACATTGGCTGGGAGTCTTGTGGTTGACGAGTTCAAAGTTTCGTGTTGGTAACCACTGTGAGGGTTGGCTAAGGAAACTGTAAATTTAAGTTGAAATGTCTCTGAAATACAGTACTACATTTTTCTTTATACAGCCTTTATCTGCCAAGTAAGTTCCAGTATTAAAGTTTTATTATTTAGGTTTTATTATTTAGGCTGTCCATCCAGCCAGACATCTCAAGTTTCTGTTATTCCATGCACAGTTGTCAAATCAGTAGTTTAATAAAATTAGAATAGGAATAGTTTATTTAAGTTTTGGTGACGTGAATTCACTAAGGAGAAACCCAAACCCCTGCATAACTATCATGGGTAAAGCTGAAACACAAACAAAAAAATTATGCTGTTTAAATTTACTTTTTGTTATCTTGATAGATATTTGATTTTCAAATGAAGAATTTTTTGGCTTCCCAGAATTATTCATATTGGAAGAAATGGGATGTTACGATAGGTGTGATCATGAGTAAGATTATGTAGATAAGTAAGATTATGAATCTGCTCTAAATAGCTGAAGTTAACACTTGATATGTTGTGAACACAAATAGTTTTCTCACACTAAATTTGGTGGCTATTTCCATATCTGTGGATTTCGGAGTATATATCGCTACAGAATAATTCAGTGGCAAAGTATTAATTTATGATAATTCATTAAAGTAGAACTCATGCATATTTAAAAGAAATCAGATGAAGTGAACATGAAAAGTGCTTGAGAGAGGAAGTTCACTTTGTGCCGTTTCATCAGAAATGATTAACAGTGCGTCAGTGTAATAACGGAAGAGAGCCCGTTACAAGCTTTCATAAATATTATTTTATACCTACAAATTTTATACCTACAAATACATTTTTAATGTGGTACAACTATTTAGATTTTTAATCCTCAAAATAGTTCACGTGCTACTTCCATATCGCATTTGAAATTCCTGTCACCTTGCATTTCTGTTGTTTCGCAATGGATTCAGACCAGATGCTCATCAGGATAACATCATGTATTTAGGAAAGCATTATTTGTATGGCTTTTTCCTCTAAAAATTTTTTGCATATATTGGCTTAAGTTTTGGAATCCTCCCCTGACCCCAGAACTTCCCCCACCAAATGACATTATTTTATTTAACATCTAAAATTTGGAGCAAAGGTGTGAAAAAGTATAAGCAGCATTTGTTTTTCCTGCATTTTTCCTGCCACCAACCAACATTTTCTGTACTGCCTCCTGGAATTCATAATTGGGAAAAAGGGGTACTTTATTTTATGTTTTTCTAATTACATTTCATAAAATAATTGAAAATGTAGAGTAGTTAAGAAGAAGCTTAAGAGAAATTGCAGCCTGTATAGCTTGTGTTCTGATTTATACTGTGGCGGGTGCTTAATTTTACCAGGGCAACAGATGAGCTTCAGGCACCAGCATTCTTCACTTGAAGTGAGAAATTGAGTTCCAAGAGTAAATAAAAACAAGATTGAAGGTTTAAATCCTCTGCTAGGCTTTTTGAACTTATATACTCATTAAATGTTTATTGGAGTGGTGGGATTACGAAGGATTTGGGTAGCTTCATCAACTGGTATATACTTAATCACTAAGTAAAACACTACATTTGATAGAGTGTTTCTCACGATGCCACACTCAATCCATCTTAATGAAAACCGCTTCAAACTGATTTAATTTGAGAGCACTTGGCAGCTAGAGTGCTCAAAGATCTTAGCCTTTTCTTGACAAATTCTCAGTGCTGTCCAGAGCAGAAGGTGCACTCTGCAGTTCAGGTCCAGTGAGACAGCCATCAGTTTTGTTTTAATCTATATTCTTGGTAATTTTTCCCTCCAAATAGCCAGTTCCATGTGAACTTGAAGCCTGCTTACAGGAATATTTTAGTTCTGGTAATTTTAAATAAATTCACTTATATCAGAACATATATTTTAAACACAGAATATGGATTACAATTGTTTTAAGAAAAAGAAGTGTTCTGCTGTTAAATCTTAATGTTAGAAAGGGTACTAAGAAAACGCTACTTGAAAAAGAAACTATAACCTTTTTAAAGTTTAAATGGTTGTCTATTACCTGTGTGTTGTTTAGCTTTTATTATTATGGCTTTTCATTTGGAGTCTCTATATAGTTAAGATTAACTTATATGATGGGTGTTTGTTTTTCTTAAAAGCAGCTGCTACCATGATAATGCCAGTTTTAGGTAGGAGAAAGGGAATGAGGTCAAATGTAACGCTACCTTAAAAGCTGTTTATCTCTGAACTTGACTTTCTTTAATAAATAAATAAATAAGGGACAAGTATGCCGTACCTCAGGTTTTGGGTTTTAGCCTAAAATTAAAATAGCAGAAATACAGAGCCTTCCCTTTAACAACTGCTGTCCGTTGTCGTTGGCAGTGAATTCCCCAGGTACATCCTGCAGCCTGATAGTTCAGCTTGTTTGGGGGGCAATTTCCAAGGGTGGTTATATATCTAACCCAAGAAAAACTTTTGGTTCTTAATTTTTTTATTTGGTCAGGAAGAAAAAGAGAGACAAAGGTTCATTGCAATAAGAAATTCTTCCTTTGTGAAACTCTGATTTTACTTATTGTGCCTCTTTTCTCCATCATGTCAGTTTATGAAGCACAAACATGCCCTTGCTCGAGTAGCTATGCTGTCATAAAAATAGCTAGACTGGATGCCATGGAAGAAATCTTATAATGGGCAGGTTTTCACAAGATGTCTGGGGAAGGTTTAGTTCCAGCTGAAAGCAACTTGCTTATGCGTTGTGTTTTGAAAAATAAGGATTTTATCCCAGCTGCAATGGTATTGTTTTAGTACTAGTACCTCATCTCTGCTTTGAATCTTTAGAAGCTGTTTACTTGATTAATACTAAAGTATTTTCTTTTACCAGTTTATTTGTCTTTTCATTATTATGAGTGATTGCTACTCTTTTGTTATGAGAAAGGATAAAGAAACCTGCTTTACCTTTTCAGTAGCTCTTATTTTATGTACCTCTGTCAGATCAACTTCTGCTTCCTCTTTCAGCCTTTCTGTCCACTGATTTTTGATATGTGAAACATCTCTCTTAGCAGAGGTTGGTATTGGCCCCTCAATATATATTTCTGCACACTGAAAATGAACCATGTTTTTCTTCTCTTTAAATTCTGTCTTTTAGGTTCAGTTTAGTGGCAGAACTAATCCTCTCACATACGGATACTTTATTTCCTGAATACCTAGAAGGAAGAGTACTTCTTGGCATGTTCAAGTAAAAGCTTTTTCTTTTCTCTTATCCAGTGCTTTGCTGATTTCTGCAAGCAGTAGCAGAATATTCCTTCATGCAGGACTTCCTAAAGTACCGTTTTTATCTGTGTAATTTGTGAAACTTTCCCTCACTATTGTTTCAGGTAATTAACTTAATACTGAAGAAAGATTCACTGAGATATACTTATTCTGATTTCTGCTAGCACAGATCATATAAACAGCATTGAGTACTCTACAGTCTTCTTGGCTATAACTGATTTTAGTTGTAAATTATGGGCTAGATCCAAACCAGCATTAGGTGTTGCATCATCTGACTTTTAGGTGCTAGGATCCTGGGATGAGCATCACTTGAGTCACGTTGCCTGTATTTATCAGAAGTTAGCGGACAGCGAGGCTGTTTTGGGGGTATGTTCTCTGTAGTGTGCTTTAGGAGAACTAGGTGATGTCAAATGAAAGCCAGAATAACCAGCACGTGAATGAGGCAGCAGATGAAATGTGTGAGCTTCAGGAGAGTCGTGCAGAGCTGGCCTGCAAGGACAGCGGAAAACATCATCTCTCCATTTAGGGCTGCAGGGGAGCTACCTCCACCCACTGGGCTCTCAGGCAGGACCTCTTTCAGTGCAGAGACCTGGGACTGTCATTTTAAGGACTGAGTGGGGTCACTCTTTTAATCACATTCAGAAGAGAAATTTGAAGTGACAGTATCAAACCCGTCTCTTAGATCCTCCCTCATGTAGCCGATGCAGTCCCCTGGAGAAGAGGCACTTGTTCTGCATCCCGTTTGCAGGACTGTTCTTTGTCCTTGTCTTTGTCATCTTTTCTTTCCTAGATGGACCCTGGCCAGTACATTGTAGTCATACTCCCTCTTAGGCCCAATGAATGAGGGTTTCTGTAAAGTGTAGTAAGTTTGGCAAATGGGTGAAGAAGGCACCAGTTCCAGAACAATTTGTAATTACTGATTGGCACAAAGTCTTGGGAAGTGACTGTTGGGGGGCGGATTCTGCCAAGCAGAAGATGGAATTGAGTATGTTCTTGCATATATTAATTCCCTAAATGCTATGGAATGATGCAAAGGAGAACAGCTACACGAGCACTGTGTACTTTGCCTCCAGGCACATTTTAAACCAAAGCAAGTTGCTGCTGCGACATTTTATGAGAGGCTTGATCGTATGGTGTATTCTAGATGTGCTTTGAAAATACCTCTTTAGTTGAGCTGTCCAGGGGACCTAGAGGGAGAAATGACTCGTGTCCAGATCCCAACTGAGCGTAAATGCAACCTGAGCACCAAGTCATGCAGTCTTGTTGCAACTGTAGAGGACAGGTATAGATGTGTAACTTTAGGTACCCAGGAAAAGAGTAAAGCAGCTACAGTAAGGTTTAGATGTTAGTAGATAAATTCCAGGTAAGTCCCGTGTTAGTGACCTACATTTTCTTTCCGGATAT